TAAGTAGTAAATTACTCAAGCATTTATCCTGAATAATTGTGATTATTGCAATTATATAATTTATTCGGACTAAAAGATGCGATTTAATAGATAAAAGTAATAGTAAAAAAACTTTAAAAAAAATCTAACATGAAATTAAAAAAGAAAAGAAAATGATCAGAATCGTGTGGATTTTCAGATTTTCATTTCATGGTTTCTTACTTTATGGCTATAACTTTGTTAAAAGTTATAACTTTATGTTATTGGTACCTAATAATATATAACTTTATGTAAAAAGTTTAAAGTTGTACCGATAAATAGTTATGGAACCTTATAGTTGAACTCTAAAAATTTACGACTTGTGTAAAATTTTTTAAGCCTGCAAATGTTTACAGCTATTTAAATTATGAAAAATGAACTTGAACCTTCGTTTAACATTTTATTCATATACTAAAGTTAAAAGTTTTCCAAGAGATTAAATATTTAACCTTTCATTTTGTCACAAATTTCGAAAGATAGCGATATTATAACTTACCTCTATTTTTTCTGTCTCTAATGATCAACCTTGTCAATGATAAAGCTTTCTTCAACTAAAAATAACGTAGGTTACATTTCCCAACTGGTGAAAAGTTGAAGAGGATACAATGAATTTGAATATTTTCTTAAAAAATATCAGATTTTTTTTCCTTTAAAAATACATTAAATTAGCTTTTGAAGTTGACACAACTTACAAAATACCACTAAGCAACTTAAGTTAATAATAAAAAAGTGTGTTTGGCATGCGATATTTTACTTGAAAACTAAAGTTCATATCATTATTTTTTCAAGAAATTAAATAAAATAAAATTGTTTGAAATCTCCAGAAATTGTGTTTTTATAACTTTATTTTACTGTCACTAATAAGCTTTCGTCAACTAATGAGTTTTAACTACTTTTTAAACTTTACTTTTTGCTAACTACTTTTGTTTCTTCTCAATCACGTCTTGAATGTGGGTGCCTGATTTTGAGCGCTTGAAACATGTAGACTGTTATTTCCAATTTGTTTATTTTTAAAACGAATGAAGCGTTTAATCTAGTAAAGAAAATGTAGTCAATGTCTCAAGGCAGGTGAAAAATGGAAGAGTATATGATGAATTATGAATATTTCTTATAAAAACAGAGTTCGTGATTTTTTTGATTTTTTTTTTTAAAAAAATCAAAAGAATCAGATTTTTTTGATTTAAATCGGATTTTTTTGATTTAAATCAGATTTTTTTGATTTTTATTCAAATACACTGTAAGAACTTTAATTTATGATTAAAAAAAATTATAAATGTTTAATCAAATTAACTTAATATTAAAACTATATTGTAACAATATTTTAGAAGCTCTAACTAAAATAATTTTTCATTATAATACATGGCTTTGAATGCATAGCAACCATTTTGAAACAAATGCATGATTAAAATTTAAAGACTAGATGAAATAGAGAATTTAAAGAATACTTCAGGGGTCTGTCTGGGTTTTTCTGAGAGGTACCTATTTTGTGAAAATTAAAAATTATATTAAAAAATCAACACAAATATAGTAAAAATATGGATTTATCGTTTCTTACGAGACACAAAAATAAAATTTTAAGAAAAAGTATTTTGTGTGATTATTCTATCATTTTTCCTAAAGTTGAATTTGTAAAGGTACCGTTAAACGGTAGTAAATTTGGCTTGGACAGACCCCTGCACTTTAACTATTAAAACAAAGTTTCAGTTAGCAAACCATAACTTTAATTTAAAATTGTGATTTCTTTTTTTTTCTCTTGATTTTTAAAATGACAAAATAAATGTAGCAGACTGTGTTTATAAATGTAGTCATTCATCAAAAAATAAATAAATATTTAATCTATATATTTTTATATTAAAATATTCATTTTTAATTCTATATCAAAATAGATAAGTTAAGCTAAAAAAAAAATTAGAAAATCTATGTATTCATTGGAATTTTTTTTCACAAAATTTCTTTATAGAAAATCAGATAATGTCAAAGATACTGTAAACATATTATGCGAAAAAAATACCAGTTAATAACCCTACTGCAACAAACAGACTTTGAAAGAGTTTGAAAGGGAAGAATGACACTATATTAGGAAAAAAACATCTGAATTCATCAGCCCCTTTTTTTTCTTCTTCTGTTTTTGGCATATTAGGGTAATTTCTTTTTAATATAACCTCAAGCTTCTTAATAAACATTACATATTTATATTACATATATCCATACATATTTAATTCACGCTTTTTCATTCAAAAGGTAGAATTTTGATTAACATTATTTGTATTATTTTTTGAAAAAAATTTATGTTTATTAATTACTTTCTACAGCTATGCAAGTCCATATTAAGACAGCATTAAATGTTTACTTTAATCTATACTTTCAATTTCAAGAATCAAAAGATTTTTAAAAATGTAAATTCAAATGTGTTGGAATTTAACACACACCAAGAAAGAAAGTAATTTCATTAACTAAAATTAATTAATGCAGCAATTTATTTAAACTAAATTTTAATGCTAAGAAAAGAAAATAATAAAAGTATCAAAAATTTGAAACACTGTTTAACTTTTAAAATCAATATATATAGGTAAAAAAAAATAGTTGATTTATATCAATGATTTAAAAAAAAAAAATCATTTGATTTAAATCATGATTTAAATCAAGCTGATTTAAATCAACGAACCCTGTAATAAAATTATCAGATTTTTTTTCTATAAAATCATATTAAATTACCTTTTGAAGTTGACACAACTTACAAAATACTATTGAGCAACATAAGCAAAAAGTGCGTTTGGTGTATGATATTTTATTTGGAAACAAAAGTTCGTACTGATTATTATTTCTTCAAGAAAATAAAAATAAATAAAATAAACCTTTCACATTGTCTCAAATCTCAAGAGATTGTGCTTTTACAAAAATAATTCTATTTTGTTGTCATTAGTGATATATTTAAAATGTTTGGACAAATGAATTACAACAACCAAAGTTGAAACCTTGTTCAACTTACCTTTCTAAACCTTTCACATTGTCTCAAATCTCATGAGATTGTGCTTTTATAAAAATAATTCTATTTTGCTGTCATTAGTGATATATTTAAAATGTTTGGACAAATGAATTACAACAACCAAAATTGAAACCTTGTTCAACTAAAGAGAATATATAGCTTATGTTTCTAGACAGATGAAACATTGCCGAAGATTTGGTGAGTTCTCAGACTGTCACTATTATTTTTAAAAAGATAAAGATCTACCGGTATCTTCTTATTTTCATCTGCCCCTCTTTTTTTTTCTTTTTCCTCATCGCTTTTCATTCTGTCTTCAAAATCTAACTTTGTTTTAAAAGATAAAAACATTTTGTCATCTGAATGTGTCACTTCGTTAAGGATGTTGAAAAAGTATTTAAAGTGACATGCGTCAGTGGCGTAGTTCGTTAGTTTTTAAATCTGACGTGAAATTATCTGTGCCTGTTCGTAATTATGCTTTGATTTTAACAGCCCTTATATACATTTTATAAACGAGATTAAATGATGCTGACATTTTTCCTGGTATTGTTTTGCTTTATGACTTTTCGCCATAAAATAATTAATTTAAAATTAAGCTACTTCCGTTAGTTAAAGAGAATATAAGATCTTTACTGAAACACTAAAGTTTCTGTACACTTAAATTAACTTATGTTACTTCATCATTATCAATCGTTCGACAGCCCAGGGTGGGCCTTGGTCTTCTCAAGAAGTTTTTTTCCAGGCTTTTTTTTGCTAGTGATTGCCAATTTTTAGTTTTTAAGACCAAAAGGTCTTTCTCTAGGCCATCTATCCATCTCAATTCGGTCTGCCCCCTTTTCGTGTGCCAACTGGTCTGGCATTAAAAACTCTTTTTGTGGTCCATTCTGATCTGGCCTCCCCATTTAATTTTTTGTCGTTTAACTTATGTTACTTATTTTTCCTCTATCTAAAAAACTCAAATTATGTACTACAATAAAACAATCAACACATTAGTTGACCATAATCAATCATCAATAACTTTGAAAAATGTAATACAGGGAATGAAATGGTTTAAAATATAATTACAATTAAGTAGTTTACTTATTTTTCGGTATTTAAAGATTCAAGTCAATACAATTAAACAATAAACGTTGATATATAGAAAGAGAAACAAACTTTTGAACTTTAACGATACGGAGACCTTTTAATGTGCAACTAAATTGCGTAAAAGTCTTGCTTCCGTCTTTTAACGGATCGCCATAGTTAATGTGCAAATTAGCTAGGTAAAGTAATTACGAGCTTAGCGGAACTGGCACATTAAGGTTCACAAATAAATACTTCAGGAAGGAAGAAAGAAAAGACTGCCGAAATCTGTGCAGTCACTAGTGAGGAAAGAGGGATGGAAAATGTCGAAACCAATTAGGTTTGCCGGGTGAAACTCGGAGGCATATCTAATAATATTGATTCAACTCCTCTGTTTTTTACTGCAATCAAACAGAATTTGATGTTTTCCGTCTTGACTCTAATTGCTTTTAGCATTAAAATTATTTTATATGCTTAAAATGATTAAAAATACAAAAGTAATATCTATTATATGTGCATTTAACCTCTTCAAGATCGATCGAAGGCGAAAGAAGCACTTCCCCAAGCCCGTACGATCCTAGTTTATAGGTACTAATAACGGATGTGATGCGAGATTACCGAATTGAGACTACGAGCCGCTGGAGTTAGAAAGGCTCGTTTCATTTGTGGTAACGGGAACCGTGAAGGGAAAATCACGTGTTCCCGCCATGGTATGTCATCCCGGTCCTGAAGGAATAAAAATGATAAGTTTTTTACGATTATTTTTCAGATTAGGAAAAAAAAATTGTCCCCTTTATAAACGCTATGCCTTACTTAGAAATTCTTTTGTTTTTTTAATGTTTTTGTATTGTACTTTTTATTTGTATTGTGCTAGTCGTAACATATGTTATTTTTAAAAGTGTCTGATTATTAATTATGTATTTTTGTCTTTTTCCAGGTCAGTAGAAAATGCATGTAAAAGAATTGTTAGGTCTCTCAGGTGATGGCAGGCGATGAAGAGCTCTCGTCGTTAGACGACTGGGGCCCTTTTGAAGACGACTGGGCCCCTGTGCATTTTCTGGTCCCGCCACCACCTCCGCCTCCATCTCTAGGTTCTGTGTGTTCTGGAAACGAATTCTACTGTCAATTAGAAGGGGGCCCAATGGGAGCTCACTACAATAGGGCCTCGTTTCCATCTTTGCCCATCATCGCTGTCTGTTCGTCCGTCGTCCTTGTTGCTGTCCTCGTTGCATCTTTTCTGTTTTGGCGGTAAGTTGAATTTCATTTTATTAATGTCGCTCGCTAAATGAACTTTGAGAATCTGGAAATGATGTTCAAAATAACCATATACAACGAAAGTCTCGCTTAAATACATCAAATGGCCAATGAATTCGAAACCTTAGATTAATATCTTATTAGACCTCTTTCTGTGCAGCTTAAATTCATGCGGGCTTCTATTCTACAAGTTTCTAGAGTGCGTTTTACGTCCAGAAAATACCATGCTTTGATTACGCAGACATTAAGGTCCTGTAAATAGGATGGAAGAGAAGATAGTTGTGTAATGTACCTTGCCAACACGATCCGAGCATTTTCTATTGGTGAGATCTAAGCTTTGCTGTGAGAAGAGAATGTGTTGAAAGTCAGATTGATTTTGAACGCTTCTGGCACTATGTGCACGCATTATTGTCCATGAAGTATTCGTCATCTTCGGACTAAGAATGTTACATTACTTGATCTGTCAATATGGTATTGCGTGGCTTCTCTTTTTCCCTTGTGAAACATCAAGACATCATTTCCATGCCAGCAAAAAATGCCCCGCACAATATTACCACCAGATCATTTAATTCCAGGGAAAATAATATTTTTTTTACAGATTTTTAATTCATTGACCAGTGTGTGTATACGCCATTATAATATTATTCTGATCATGTTGACGATATAACGCTTGTAGAGCCCTGACCTACGTTAAAGTTTTTTTAACCATTCTTTTCTGTCGGTTTCCTTTTTCATGTAGTTAATTTCAGGTCCTCTTCAATTCCTACCTTTCATCTAGTTCTAAGTCTTAACTCTATATTTATTGATCCTGGTTTTCCGGCTAATAATCTTTTGACATTTCTTTTCGAGTCCATTAAGATACGTTGTAACTATTGAATTATTTTTAGTTGTTGAACTTTTTCAGTTCTCATAGGTGTTACAATGTCTGGTTGGTTCATCATATCTATTTGTAGTCATCCTGCTATGCCCATTTTCAGAAATTCCGCCAAAATATTACAATGTTAACAAATATTTAATAACCCACGTTCCTTTTCTAAACTACAAAATAAGGTATAATTCGTACACCATTTGTGTGAAAGAAAAGGGGAAGGCCGTAGTTGATTTCCAATACAATGTGGGGCAAATTACTGACAAATCATATGGAGGCATATTAAGTAACTGAGGGACTTGTGCAATAATAAGTTAAGGCCATTTTTTTTAAATTTTATTTTTGACTGGGGACATATAACTGTAACAATCAGTGCAAGAACCGGGCTCGAATATAAAATTAGACATCATCTGCGGAGGGAAACTGAGCAAATCTATTGATATCATTGAAAAAATATGTCACGCAAAAAAAAAAAGAAAATAAAATTTAAAGAAAAACAGGAAAAGACCCAAAACGAAATCTATAAAGCGAGTAGCGAATTCAAATGAACTTATATGTATCGGAATCGTTTAAGAATAATTTAAAATATTTTCGTAATAAGATTGCCAGATTAGAAAATATGAAAATAGAAGCACAAATGGAGTTAAAAGCGTAAATAGAGGGATTTTGTTTTATGGTGCGTTCCTACTGAAGCGCGTTTAATTTGCTAGTTAACAAGGAGTGATCCGAAAATGGATGCGCGCAAAGTAATAATATTATACTGGATAATTTAAAGAAGTTTATAATGAATAAGGTTGATATTAAATTATATAATTTTAATGAATTGGTGATAAAAGATGTATAACTTGCCCTAATATTGACAAAATGTTTTTGGCTATATTGATACAATATTAGAAAGCGCTCGTTTTTGCGGATTTAATCGTGTGAGCTGATGAAGAGATTATATCTTCATTTTTTGTTTTCCGGCTTTTTAATATATATATGTTTTTCAATTTTTTAAAAAATATTTTATTTTAATAATTTTTCTTCTTCTCTTTTCATTAATTTTTCTCTCCATGTTTTCTCTATATTTTTAACTTATTTATAAGTTTTATATACTTACAGCTCTTGCGCAGCAAATAAAACTTATGCTCTTCGTCTTTATTGTGTATATATATATATATATAAACACAAATAATAAATTAAAAATTAATATAAAGAGAAACTAAAAATGGGAAATCCAATAGTCGTTATCAAGACACATCTATTGGTATAAATGCGATATTTCTGAATAAAGAATAATTATCCTAAGGTAAAAAATATTCTTTATGTAATTTTTATCTTATATATATATATATAATATATATTAAAAACAGAAAAAGAGAAAATTGTTAAAAGCTAGAATAGGTTAAGTAGAACGATACTAATTTAAAAAGTATGCACTTTTTTTTAGAAACTTTTGACAATGTATAATTTCCCTCGACATAAATCTTCTGATATCTATGAGTGTGTCCGTACTTCATGATAAATTCACTGCACGATATGAAATAGAACATTTTTTTTTTTTTTTAGAAGAAACTGTCAACATACTTTTCGTTTGTTCAAGAAGAAAATTTACGAACGCAAAAACTAAGTGATAAAAATCTGACCCACCGGGAATCTAGTATTGGTATTCCGTAACAGTTGATCCAGTTCCTTAATATACTCTAGACTTGTGGACACTTCCCTTTACTATCGTTTGATTTTTCATTGTTATTAATTTTATTTTTATAACAAGTTCGCTCTGAGATTCTAGTGATAACTTGAGAACTTAAGCTTTAAACAATTACGTGTCGTAATAATGAATTTTTTCGTTTCAGCTGAATAAAAACAACTAAAATAACTTCTTGGGATTTTGCACGCTAGTTTTGTCGGGGGAAAAAAATAAAAGAACAAAAAGGGCACGCCATTTTGTCTGACGACAGTCATTAAGGAACTCCATCGAGGGCTATAGTCACGTGATCCAATCACACTATGCGGGCTGGTGGGGACATTTTTATTGTTATTTATTCATTTTTGTTTTTTATTTGTTGCAATCGAGTTTGAGATATAGCTTATTTTTAAAACTAATTTCTTATCCGATTATAAAGGATCATTTCAAAACACTGTTGTACATGTATTTTTTGATTAATATATGTTTAGTCTTATATCAAAAAATATGGTATCATTGAAGATTAAACCGAGTTGATTAAACTTCAGTATTAAGCTTTGTCAACTAAACTGTTCAAGTTGTCATTTGTCATTATCCATCTTTCTGTAAAAATTAAAATCAATGGTTTTTTTTAAGTGATATAATTGTGTTATTTTTCTTAAATTGGTAGGATCTGTCACAAATGATTTATAATGCCTGTTCTAATTTTATGGATTGTTGGCAATAACACATTTTGAAATTTGAAGTTCGTGTTTTTTTCAATGCTGGATTTAAATTTGCCCTTACTTGGAATCATCAATCAATTAAGGGAGGAATGATTTTTAATCGTATATTCGTTTTATTCACGGAACGTAAGCTTTTAAATTGTAAATAATAACGGAATTTTGTTTTAGTCAGTGATATAAATCAATCTTATCTATCATTTCGATTAAATATCTTTTAAATATTTTTATTTGTTTATTTACTACTTAATCAAAATCAAGATCATGTTATGTTTTATGTGCAAGTGAAATAATAATAAGAAAAAAAGGAAACTATTAACTGAAAAAATTTGTTTTTTGCATCTTATTACTGAACCTTTAAGCACGATCTTAAAAAAAGAAAGAAAAAAAAAAGAAAGTTATCAGCATTTATAGGGTGTTCTAACAGTGCTGCTTCCCCCACCTATAGGACTCGAAGAAGAAAATGTCTTTTTTCCTTTTCCCAAATTCGTAAACAAAATGCTCATCAATCTAGTTATAGGTATTTTATTTCATGTTTAAAAAGAACAAACCATTTTTTAATTATCCTTTCACAATTATATTCATTTAGGTTATATCTTATTTCATTTGAATTAGCATTCTTGGAAGTTTTTTCTTAATCTGCCTATTTTTTCTCTTTAATATTGACGAAATAATTTAAAACTTCATCATTAAATTTAAAACTACTTCAGTTAAAGAAAAATTGTTTTTATTTGTTTTAGATTTAAATAGATTTTAACTGCTTTTCTCTTCTCTATTTACTTAAAAAATATTAAATTCTAAATTCCAAGATCTTTTGTTATCATTCCTGTAAAAATTTCTTTTCACTACCATAAACCCACAAGTTTTTTTTTTTTTACATTTCTTTTATTCGTAACTGTATTAAATATGTAATTACTTTAGTTTACAATGGTTAATTCGTGTTACAATGTGATGAAATCGATCCAATGAATTAATCCAATTAAAAATTGTCTAGGAAGTATTGATAAAAGTAAATTCAATTAAAACAAAAACGCATGCAAATCAGGTGAAATAATTAAACAACAAAAAATACCCTTAATAATTAGTCTGGATCACATTATTATCATTTATTTAATGATGTAACGAATTACATCGATTGATTAATTGAAAAATAATTAATTCTGTTGTTCATTTAAGTGCAATGTTCTAGTTTCCATAGATTTAGCAAAAATAATAATAATGAATAAATAAATAATAATAATAAATAAATAAATAAATAAATAGCACCACACTCCACCAAAGGTGGTAATAACTTAATTATTCAGTTTTTTACATTAAAAATAATTTAGAAAAACATTTTAGCTGAATTGTTTTGTAAACATTTAGCAAAATTGTTTTTTAAGTATGCAAATCTCTTTATTTAAGTATGCAAATAATCTTGTGATATTTATTTTGGTAAGTACACACCCTTTGTTTTCAAAGTTTTATTCTATAGCATTTAATGGTTTTTAACCCTTTGACGCAGATGGGTCACCGGTGCCCCTTATATATATATANATATTATTTTATTTTTTATTTTAGTGTCGGTATTTTTTAATTATAAAGAACAGTCTAACAATTGAAAAAAAAAAAGTATGTTGCATTATCGGAATTATATTTGTTCTTAAGTATAAAATCCCAAAAAAGTAGTATGTAAATTTTTTTTATTTTCATTCCTATTCAAAAACTTATTAATAAAATTAATGGTAATATAAAA